GCGGCGGCCTCGCCTCCCCTACACTAGCACAGCAAAGTCTGATGAAAACTGAACACACGAGAGAGACTCTCACGCTCATGATCAGACGGTTTCCTGACTTGCTTTCAAAGCTTCCTGGCATCAGCGCACACATGCTTTTCGTCAGGGCTTATTGTTCTTTCAAAATTGGGGAAGGAAGATTTCCTAGCGCCTGCCATGCCGATTCTGCAGCCTGGAGAAAAAGGGGCTTTGTTTTTATCCATCACTAGGATTATGGAAAGATTAGAAATGCATGATTTGCATGGTCAGAAAAGAAATTGTTCTCTGCTTTCTCATGCAGAGCTGCTTGGGTGCTGTATTGACACAGAACAGAACTGGGAACCCAGTTCAAAACCCCTGGAAAACAGCAGCAGCCTCTGTGGAGTTTTGTATCAACTGTGTCCGCCGTCCTCCTCAGGTCCTATCTTCAGGGCTTGAGCCTGTGGTCAAGCCAGATTTCGCCTTCCACCCAGTCCAGGGCAGGGAGGACACCTGCGATGGCGGGCAGAGATGAGCTGGGGACCACCCAGGGTCCCCCGATCAGCTCAGACTTTGCAACTCAACACAAAGGTGTTCGAGGTCGGGTGGGTTTTTGGTTTGTTTGTTTTTCTCCCCCTGCCCCAAATGCTTAAGTAGCATTTTCTGGTTCTTAAATAATAAACCCCATTTGCTGTGTTTGAACAGCCACACTTGGGTACCACAGCTGCATTTTAAGGGCCCCGTTGCAGGGTGCAGTATCTGCTTTTCCAGCTGAGCACAGGGAGAAGGCTCCAGCCCCTCACAGGAGAGCCAGGCTTTGCTGCCGTGGTGGCAGCTCCACAGGTTTATGTTACCACCTCACACTACAAATAGGCTTTAGAAATTGCTCTGGCCCTCACATTGCTTTCACAAGCATTATGGAACTCAGCTGAGCAACATTAAATACAATCCAATTGCTTTGGGGTAAAAAAAAAAAAAGAACAAGGCAATCCTGCATGCATTTTATCCTGTAAAACATGTCTTTAGGGTGGGTTCTTTTCTCCCCTGGAGTCCTGAAATAGCACACTGGGCAATGCATGGTGTTGCAAGTAGCAGTTCAAACTCCTGAACATACCAAAGATTAAATAACTTCAGGAATATTTCTACCAAGATTTAGACCAGGAGTTGCTGCCCGTCCCCTGCACTTCCAACTGGCCTCAGTCACCACAGCCTCATCCAGTCTAATCACTGACAGCCCACCAGCCTTTCTGAAACATGGCAAAGTAACTGAGACCACTTTCCTTTTCTATTCCCTGTTTTCCTGCCTGCAACTTAGTTCTGAATCATGATAAGCCAGGAAAAAAAAAGTCCATATATTATATTAACATCTCACTCATATCTTTCCAGCAGTGCTTTCGTGGCCAAGCATCTGTCAGTGACATCAGATCACACAACCCTTCTTCCATCAAGTTATTTTTATTCACTTGCCTTTCTTTTTAGATTTCCCTAGCCTCTAAGAGGATGTGCAGTAATTGGTGCCTCTTGTGGCCACCTCACCTCTGCCCAAACAACCGAGATCTCAGTTGTGCAAAGGGCCCCAAAATAGACCATGACTCAGACCTGCGAAGAGGAGACAGTGGTAGGGAGGCGAGTGAGCCGAGCCCTGGGGTGGTTAGGGTGGATACCGACTTTGCAAGATGCGTTTGAAAAGTTTCTTTAAAGCAGGGGAGGATCAGTGACAGAAAATCCAGTTTTGCCGATCGAAACCTCTTTGATCTGGAATGGCATCTCAGAGGGAAAGCACTGTTTTTTCTGCTGATGTTGCTGAGTCAGCCTTTCTGGGGGTAGGATGGCTTGGTCATGACTCACAAAAAATTAATTGCCTCTACCTCTGCCTCCCACTTTTCATGTAATTCTACCTGTTCTGCTTCTTACTTCCTCTGACTTATTCTTCTTTCATCTTCTCTTATCTCTCATTCTTTATGCCCCACCTTTTCCTTCAAGTCATCCTTGGCCGCTGTGCTCCTGCTGCTGCTTTTCTATCTCCAGCACCACCCTTGCATTTCACCTTTGCCTCTCCATTTCCTAAAGAAAATCAGGAGCCCCAAGAGTGACCCTTTGCAATCACGCCCTTTGCACTTTGTTCACAGCTGAGCAATACTGTTGGGCTGCATTAACAGAAGTGATTTTCACTGATTGATGGACGATGCAAAGAAGGAACATTTCAGTAGTAAATCTACCTAACTAGGGAAAAAAGTAATGAAAAACCTTTCCCCCCCCTAAGTTCCTCCAAAAACGAGCTGGGCAGTGCTTTTTGCCTTGTATTGCGTGGAGTATTGTTATTAATTCAGAGGTAAAGCTGATGACTCAGGAAGGTGACCTGACACCCCACACTGGGCAGAGCCACGTGGAGGTCAGCCTCGCTCCTCATCGCTGCTGGCACCATCCCCTTCACCTGCTGGCTCTGTTCCTTAACAACGGCCGCCATCGCTGAGCCATCCAGGCCTGAATTCCCTCAGATTCGCTTGGATCCGAAGCAAGTCCACCAACGGCAGTCAAGTTTCACTGCTGAAGTCACAGTAATTAAGGGCTTCTGAGGTTTCTTCTACCATTTGGCAAACTTTCCGTTGCCGTGGGAAATATGATGACAAGACAGCTGTATTGTCTAGCTTGACAAGATCAAAAGAGGGCAGGAATGTTTTACAGTGAAAAAAAGGTTTTTTACATTGTTCCACAATAGCAAAGAGCAGTTACATTTTCAGACACTAATTACCCCTGCTCTGAAAACAATGCACGAAGCCAGACACGCCGAACAAAGCTACAGCTGTTAGATGTGCGTGGGGGAGCAGAAGCTGGGCTCTCTCCGTGTAAATGTGAAGTTGCCTTTCTTTCCCAAACTTCCCCGGCACAGTATTCAAGCCACAATTTGCTCTTAAGTATAGCCCTTCCTTTTTTTCAAGCAGCCCAGTCCACCTGATGATCCTCAAACACTAAAGTGGTCAGAGCCAACCACCCCAAAGTCTGGTCCCATGTCCCACTCCACCAGCAGCCACAGAAAAGCCCAAGCAGGAGAACGTGCACCAAGTGATCTAATCTTGGCTGATTCGCAAAACCTCCCCCTTTAGCAACACACACAGGGCTTGGACTCGAAACCAACAGAACATGGAATTAACGGCAAGTATGCGCTCAAGTATCATTGATGAACCGGCACAGATTTCCACTCCTGGGCTTTGATCAGTGCCTGGATTAATAAATAACAGATAAAGTTCTGCCTCCAAAAATTCTCAATGGGGGTTAGTGTTTCTCTGTTCCTTTACTGGGACACAGTGAAAAACAGGCAAAAAAGAAAAAAAAAAAAAGCTAT